GAAAAAAATACACAGTGACAGCTATTAAAGCCAATGTCGCCACACGTGGCTAGCATGGAGCTGGCTCTCACCCAAAAGCAACAGGCGGTTATAAGACAGACTTAAATTACAATTTTTAATTATTATTTAATTTTTAATATTATTTTTATGTAATTTTTTCATATTAACTAAAATCATTTTGTTGATATACTTACTCGTATATAATGTTAAAAAACCTTTAGTTTATGTCATGAAAAGAAACAAAACAACATATTATCATTGTGTCTGAAAATATATTTTTATCCCAATAAATTTATTAATTTTAAATTCATATAAAAATGTACAATGTGAAAAGTTTAAAAAAGTTACGAATGAAGATATTTTAAAAGTGAATAAAATAAAAGTGCCTCAAGCTATTTTTTGTCACACAAAACTTTCCCAGCGTTTAATTTAAATGTACTTGTTTTTCTTAAATCTGTGTTAATTGCATTATAACTTGTATTCACACAAAATTTTTGCAAAAAGTTTAAAAATCCAAACTCTTTTTACTCAATTAGTGCGAAATTTTTATTAGATTTCTAATTTAAAATGTATTTACTATACAGGGTGACTGGTGAATTACTATCAATATTTAAGGAGCATACTCGGTACATGATTCTCATTCGAATTATGTAAAAAAAATAGGTACTTAATTTTTGACCAAATTTCCGTATAAATAAATAAAGTGTGTACACGTTCCAAGTCTTCCAACTGTGGACGCGTGCGGCGGCGTGCTGATACAACACCACGCCGCCGCACGCGTATGTGTGAGTGTGTGTGTTTACCTAATCTGTAGGGTGTTCATACGATGCGTAATTAATTACATAACTTTTGGTTAACTTTACTTAGAAGTTTATTTATATTTATGTTATATTAATTTTTATTTTGTCATATATGATCGTCAAATATCACGTCCTCAAATATCGATAGTAATTCACCAGTCACCCTGTATATAAGTTAACTAGCTACCCGGCAAACGTTGTTTTCCATAAAAAAAATAGGGGTTGGTGATAAAAAAGTAAAAATTTTGGGTTGTATGCATTTTTTAATCTTTTTCTTCTATATATTATATTATAAAATTATTATATTATAGAAAAAATATCCGAAAAAAAAAATAATTAAGGGTGAACAGCCCTTATAGGTATGAAAAATACATGTTTGCCGATTCTCAGACCTATGCAATATACTCACAAAATTTCATCATAATCGGTCCAGCTGTTTGGGAGTTCTCTGTCTAACACCGCGACAGAAGAATTTTAAATATAATTAAATAGTATCTATTAATAAAACACACCACAAAATATATATATTACATAAAATATATCTTTCTTATAAAGCACCATAGTAATATCATTCGCCGCCTAATTTTAATACTTTATACACAATGTGATATGATAAAGAATAATAAATGTTTGATATCTATGTAAATGGAGGCCATTCCGTTTGTCTTTTAGTATTTGCAAGTTAATGTCAAGTTATCTTTTATCCTTGTAATAGATTGCGTCTACGAGAGAAGCGTAGGCATTTCGTAGACGTTTCGTAGAGTTTCGTAGACAGTACGTAGTTTCGTAGCACTTTAGTTGCTTAAATTGCGGTACTAACAATAGTGCTCGATTGAGTTATGAAGTATTTAGTATATAAGTATTTAGAAACATAATAATTTACTATGTATGTGTATTATATATATTATAGGGTTAGAATACAAGAAGCCTTTGTATTTTTACCTCCATTCCTGTTTCCTTACATAATCATTTGACATAGAAAGTTTTCTCCTTTTTGTGTGTGTGTGTGTGTGTGTGTGTGTGTGTGTGTGTGTGTGTATATATAGAATGATCAATTTATGCAAATAAATAAAAAGTAGGAACAATTTTATCAGAAAATTGTTTTGTATAGTTAACTAAACAATAATCGAAGTTATAAAACATTACTGAAAAGTTTCATATAATATTCTCAGCTGAGTGTTTAATAAGGAATATTATTGTATAGAATAATGTTATGTTTACCAAAATAACAATAGATATCGAATAAGACAAGAGGAAGAACGGGAACAAAAGCCACATCATTGTATAATATACATTTAAAATTATTTACTGTGTATGAGGAAACATCAAAAATATTTCAAACCAATACAATAGACTTGAAATTTTGCATAGTGATGATCAAATCAAACATTTCAAGAGCCTGAGTGTATTGTGAATTTATTTCCAAGCGAATTTATTTCTGGGAAACAACTAATTAAGTAGAATAAGTATCTTATATCGTAGCGTATCTTGTATCGTGTCTTTATAGCTTTGCATAAAAACTTTATAGTTTTTATTTTTAATTTAATTTCATCATCATCATCAGTCTATCAGAGCCTACTACTGAGCCTCTTCTCATGAGCATTAATCACTCGCTCAAGACGGGTTGGTGATTTCAAACTTATAATTTTAAATTATTAGAGTATTTAATAGTTTTTTTTTGTTACAAATATCACTGATATAATATAACCCGACCCAGTGAAAAAGTTACGCGATAACAAATGCAATTACTACAACTTTTATGATGAATGACAACAATTTCACGCCAATTTTTCTCGGTCGGGTTATCATTCTTATCTCGGGGCAATTCATTTCGTCGGTTATAAATTGAGTGACGCTCATTCCGCTGGCATTGAAACGCTATGATGCTATCATTAGTTCAGTTCTTGAAATAAATTTTAGGAATAGTTCACAAATTTTATTATTATTTTACTATGAACCTTTATATATTAGCCTTTATCGAAACTTTATCTCTATTAATACATGTATGCTTTATTGGTTTAATTTTGTTTCTTGCAATATGAGTTTATTAAGAAAACAATCTGTTTATGACTAAATTTTATTTTTTATTATTTCCAATATTAACTTCGGGAACTAGGACTTCAAGGTTTGTTATTTTTCAAGTCTAACATATTTTATTTCTGTAATCTATTGACCTCATTAAAATCACTTAATACTTTATTTTTACGATTATTTAAAATATTACTTCATGACCTATTAATGTTATATGGGACGAAAATTTTCAAATTATGAAATACTGTCTATCAATACGATGTTCACGAGGACGGAGTCGCGGGCAAAAAGTAGTATAATATAAAAAGTAGCATCTAGAACCTTCTTTAGGTGATCGTAGCTCGAAGTTAGCAAAGTCGTACATTATAAGATACTTATTTACAATAGCGTCAGCTAGGCCATGTATCTTTACAATAAATCCCGCGGATTTAAGAGACTTATGCTTCATTCTATACCTGACTTTGTAGATGTTGCAACAATACTGCCTTCCTGCCTTTAGTATGCATAGAATACACTGCCTTCGTAAATATTTGACAGCAACAATGGGCTAATGTATGAATGGAGTTACATAGTAACAAACCAGTCAATAACTGACTAATAACTAACTAGCCAATCACTGACTATACTTGGAAATATGTCACTCAAAAATAGGTTTAAAGTCATTACTATTTTAAGTTAAAAATAAACATTTTTATCTTTATTTGACAGTGTTAGTAAAGATTTAGAAAAATACTTTTTGCAATAAAATATTGATGATATTAGAAATGTTTACTCTTTTTTCCCTTTAAATTTTCACAAGCAGTTTCAACTAATTTCCATCTCCGAATTTTCAATCCTTTGTTCGAGCGGTTTAATAATATCTTTCCAAAGCAGTTGCCCTTTAAGTTGAAATGCGCTATTAAAGTGAAGTGGCCGTTTTAATGTATTAAGACTATGGACAAAATATTTATTAACTTTTCTCACAAATTCTTGTATAGGAATTTTAATTAAATATATTATGGCTTGAAGGAAAATAAAATTCTTTTAGGATATTCTGATGTGACCGCTCAGTGTATTTTATGTTAAGCTGCGCAAAATTTATCATTGCCACTAAAGCATTGTTGAGGTTTTAAAATAAATATAATTGGAGAACTATTTTAATAAAATGTTTATTATACTAAAAAACAGAAAAGAAAGGGTTTCATATGAGTTTTCAGAATAAATATAAGATAATTCTTTATGAAATTCAAGAAAATAATTTAGAAAAATTTTAGAATTATTATCATTCATCTTAGAATACTTTTTATGCATTAAATTTGACACAAATATTCCATAAAACATCTATTTATACAGGGTGACTGGTGAATTACTATCGATACTTGACGACGTTATATTTGACGATCATATATGACAAAATAAAAATTAATATAACATAAATATTAATAAACTTCTAAGTAAAGTTAACCAAAAGTTATGTAATTAATTACGCATCGTGTGAACACCCTACAGATTAGGTACACACACACACACACACTCGCGCGCGGCGGCTTGGTGTTGTATCAGCACGCCGCCGCACGCGTCCACACTTGGAATACTTGGAACGTGTCCACACTTTATTTATTTATAGGGAAATTTGGTCAAAAATTAAGTACCTACTTTTTTTACATAATTCGAATGAGAATCATGTACCGAGTATTCTCCTAAAATATTGATAGTAATTCACCAGTCACCCTCTATAATTATTGATATTCAATACTCAATATAAAGCAAGAAAAAACTGGAAATAAATTCTAATATTTAATTAATTAATGACTAAGTAATTCTACGATATAATATCGCTTACTATGCAATACAATCTCATCTCCACATCATTAAGCAATCGACATCAGCGACAGTATTTCATTCTGTGAAATGCATTTGATACTGTGATACTTGATTTATATATTACACTAGCTTTCCACCCGCAGGTTCGCCCGCGTGGGGTTCGGTTATATCGCGTTTCCAAGAGAATCTTTTTTTTTTTTTTTTTTTTTTTTTTTTTTTTTTTTTTTTTTTTTTTTTTTTTTTTTTTTTTTTTTTTCAGTTGCGCGCCGATATCCGTCGCAAGCGCACGGTTCATTAGCTATTTATACGAGCGTCAATCTTATTTATCTTTTTTCATTTCTACCCTCATGTGGAAATATTACGAAAATGGATGATGTAAACGATAATACCAATATTTTATCATGTGCAAGTGATATAGAAGAAGACTCAGTGATGAATAGTGATATTTGTGAGCAACTAGTAGAAAAGGAAGTACATGCAACAAGTATGGGGGAATGTCGCTCAGTGGAGAAAAGGCAACGACAGGATAGTGATGATAGAGAGAATGGTGATGAAGAATTTATGATGGTTGAGAGACGGAGTAAACGCATGCATAGAAGTACGTCCGGTAATGATGAAACATATGAAGTGTGCATTTCGTCTAAACAGGCGTTACCTAAACAAATAGGTATGGCTAAATTGATGAGATCACAATGTATTAAGAATATCCTAAGAATTAAATTTAAGGGTCCGTATAAAGCACTTATTACTTTTAGCACTAAATGTGATGCTGAGCAATTAATCAATTGTCAAAAATTGGCAGAATTAGAGTACAGGTGTCAATTCACAAATGAAGTTCAGATTACTTACGGTGTAGTCAAGGATATTGATTTAGAAACGGAAGAGAAAGAGATATTGGACAAGTTTTATTGTGATTCACAAATTGTTAGCATGAGGAGGTTACGGAGATTAAATAACGGTAATGAATGGGTCCCAAGTACAACAATTCGTCTGGGTTTTAAAAGCTCAACTTTACCCCCGTATATATTTGGATACGGTTGCCGGTTTAAGGTTGAGCCATACACATTTCCAGTGTCACAGTGCTCCGGATGCTGGAAATTTGGGCATTTAACTAGATCTTGCCCAACGAAGAAGATCAAGTGCCCAAAATGCGGACAAGACCATCAAAACTGTGAAATAAAAGATTTCGTTTGTTTAAATTGCAAAGGCCCTCATATGGCACTTGATAAAAAGTGTCCTATGTTCATAAAAGAAAAGAAGATTAGGGAGATAATGAGTCAGAAAAACTTTACTTACAAAAAGGCTCTTGAATTTTACTGTCAATATACAAGCAAGGAAATAGAACGACAAAGAACACAAAGAGGAGAAGACGATTTTAAGAATAGCGTTATGATTAACACAAATGAAATATCGGAAAATAGAACTTACAGGGACGTTGTAACTGCTACGTTCCCAATACAAATGATTGAGAACCAGCCACAGAATATAACACATAATGATGACTCCGAAGACTCCGAAAGCCGTTCAATGAATACTCGATACTCACGACAAGGTAAATATGCCAAAAAAAAAAGTAAGAAAACAGAACAGTTGGTGAATCAGAATGTAAATAGCAACGTCACAAATCTACCTGCCCAAAATTTGACATATCCTAAGGAGATTGATAGCAATCAAGATAAAAACACAGACAACCTTAGTAGAGTTAAAAACCTCTTTATAAAGTTGAAGGAAATCATCCTCTCGAAGAAAGATACGAAAGATAAAATACTTAATGCAATCTATTTAGTGACAGAAGAAATATGTATCTCATTCCCTGCATTCGCGAAAGTTGGTGAAGTGATTAAGAATATGTTATATCTATTTAATGGATAATACAACACTAAAAGACTTCACGGTGAATATCTTGCAGTGGAATTCACAAAGCCTACGCCCAAAACTTCCAGATTTTAAAGTATTATTAAATAGAGAAAAAATTCATATAGCGCTAATTAGTGAAACATGGTTAAAACGAGGTACAAGTTTAAATATTAGCCAATATAATGTATATAGGTCTGACAGAGACGATTCATATGGAGGCGTTGCGATTATAACGCATAAATCTCTTAAAACTTTTAAAAGTTCTATTTGTGTCAATAATAATGGTATCGAATTATTGCATGTCAAAATTCTAAATTGTAAATTACTTAAAAATATTATTTCTGTTTATTGTCCCTCTAGTGTTAATACAAGTCAGGCCAATTGGGATAATCTATTTTCTATGTTCCCGAAATATACTATAATTGCTGGAGATTTTAACGGACAACATACTTGTTGGTCAGATAAAATTGACACTCGAGGGAATCAACTATTTGATAGTTCTTTGCAACATGGTTTTGTGACAGTTAATGATGGAAGTTATACCAGGGTTAAATTTGTTAATGGATTGCTACAACAATCCTCACCAGACATTACTTTCTGCACTACAGATATAGCAATGAATTTAGATTGGAAAACTACTAATGAAAATTTAGGTAGTGATCATTTAGTTTTAAAATTTTCACTTCGTTATAAAGGTCATTTAACTTTTACTATAAAAAGGAACTATAAAGATGCCAACTGGAAAGAATATAAAGATATACTACACAAGATTTTTAATGACACGGATTTCGAATCAAACGATATTCAAAGTATGTATGACTGGTTTGTGCAACAAATAAATTTGGCTGCGGATAAATGTATACCATATTATAAATTTTCCAATAACTTAAGTCAAAAATTTGTTCCAAAACATTTTTGGAATCAGACATTGTCCAAAATGGTCGCTGAAAGAAGATTAGCACTTAAAAATCTTAGACGGAATCCAACCCCGGACAATCTAGATATATTAGAAAAAAAAGTTGCCGATGCCAGATTATTTATTACTAAAGCTGATTGTAAAAGTTGGCAGTCCTTTTGTAATAATATTAATGAGAACACTACTGTTATCGATATGTGGCATAAGATGCAGTGGATGAAAGGCTTAAAAAGAACCAAAACGTGTACACCAGACGATAAAAAACAAGAATTATTACAAACATTAGCGCCTGACTTTGTATCACCTAGCATTCCAGAATTCAGATCAAAAAATATAGTATTAGAAGCACCATTTACATATCCAGAATTATACAATAGTTTAAAACACAAAAATACTACACCTGGCAATGACAATATTTCTTATTCGATGTTGGTTAATTTACCGAACGTTGCGAAACGATATTTACTAAAATTATTTAACCTTATATTTATTCATAGTTACATACCAAAACAATGGAAAGACGTACAAATTGTAGCCATCCCTAAACCAGGCGGTAATAATAGTAAATTAAGGCCTATTTCACTTATTTCATGCATAACTAAAGCTTTTCATAATATGATAAATAAACGTCTTGAATGGTATTTTGAAAAAAACCATATATTTTCGGAAAGGACTACAGGCTTTAGAAAAGGGCAGTCCTGTCTTGACAATTTAACCCGGCTTATTACTCATATACAAATAGGGTTCACGAAAAATATTCAAACAGTGGCGTGTTTCTTGGATATAGAGGGTGCTTATAACAATGTCCTTATTGAAAATATTGTGACTACTTTGGATGACTACGAGGTTGGATCCTTGATTTCAAAATATTTGTGGTATTTTCTAAATGAAAGACATTTGAAAATAAGACTAGATTTCGATGACTCATTTTATGAAAGATGGACAAGCAAAGGTCTTGCCCAAGGTGACCCATTATCTCCCTTATTATTCAATATAATCACAATAAGAATTACTCAAGCCATCCAAAATGTATCTTTAAGTCAGTATGCCGACGACTTTGTTTTATTTTCTAGTCTACCGAAGATTCAAGATAGTGTTCTCAATCTACAAAATTCTTTAAATATATTTGCTAATTTGTTAAATGAATTAGGATTGGAATTATCAAGTAATAAATCTAAATTATGTATTTTCAGTAGAGGATATCGCAGACATAATGTTTACATTAATATTGGTGGATTTAACTTGGAGACTGTTGAAACTATAAGATATTTAGGTTTTTATTTGGATAGATCTCTGCGATGGGGTTCTCACATAAACGAGATAAGTGCAAAGACTGGGAGATTTTTACAATTGCTTAAAGTCTTAGCTGGGTCTAGATGGGGGATTCATCCTCAACATTTACGAAGAATATATACAGCGTTAATACGGAGTAGAATAGATTATGGCTCTTTTTTATACGACAACAGCGCTAATTTACATTTAAATAAATTAAATAAAATACAAAACCAAGCTTTGCGTGTTATTGGAGGTTATATTAGATCTACTCCAATACATGTAATGGAGAGTGATCTTTGTGTTCCATCGCTGCATATAAGAAGGCTTTATTTGGCGGCAAAATATTGTTTGAAATGTCAATCGTGGTCTGAAAATCAAACAATACAATCTATATCCGAGCTAAGTTTATTGCTAACGAAAAGATACTGGTATAACAAAAAGAAACCTTTGTTAACTGTCACATATATAAATACAAAAAATGAAAATATTAACGCCTCTAGTATTTTGGAAATGTTTAATCTCGATACATGGGTGTCGAATATTGACATTAAAAACATTTGCAAATCTAACCTAAGTTGTGTAAAAGGACCTAAAAGTAGTTATGATTTTAATATTGTGAAGCAAGATGTTGTACAAGAGTTAAACCAGAATTATGCGGGATGGCACTATTTGTATACCGATGGCTCAAAAGATAAAACAAATGTTGGTTGCTCTTGGTATGACCCTACTTCTAAAACTAGTAAAATTTTTAAATTAAATCTTTATACATCAATAATGACTGCTGAACTTGTAGCTATATTTGAGGCACTGTGTTATTCTAGAACTGTCAATAATGCAAATATTGTTATCTGTTCTGACAGTAAAAGTGCCATTCTTCATCTTATAGGCTGTGTTAGAGGTAAAAGGGGAATATCTATAGCGTACAAAATTTTAAATGAGTTTATTAAATCAATAGCAATTGGCAAATTCTTGAAATTACAATGGATTCCCTCGCACGTTGGAATAAAGGCGAATGAAAGGGCTGATAGCTTAGCAAAACAAGCTTTACTTGTAGGGACCTCAACAAATCTAAGACCGGATTATACCGATACCTTAGTCAAATACAAACTTGAAGTCCTAAAAAGCTTTAAAGAGTATTTTGACGAAAGGTCGAGGAGTAAGGGAATATGGTATAAGACCATACAAAGTGAGCCACCTCGTATTCCATGGTTTGATGACTCAGGGTTAACTCGGCAACAAGTTGTTATGGCTCTCAGACTGCGTTCCGGACACATTCCTTCAAATAATTTTGGATATCTAATGAAGAAGTTAAACTCTCCGAATTGCGATATATGCGGGATTCAGGATGACGTACATCATTTTCTGGTGGAATGTGTTCGGAATGCGGCCAAAAGAAGAGAGCTAATAGATAGATTTAGTATTAATTTAATGGATTTAGGAATTTTCCAAAGTATGTTATCGATTCCAAAATCAGAGACAGCCAAAATTATTTATGAGTTTAAATTAAAATAAGGCATAGTTTATAAGCTTTAGAATTATTTTAGTTACTTTAAGGTTTATATTTATTGTTGGTGGTGGGATTTTTATTAAGGGAACGATGGGACTGACATTTAGCTTTGCTGCTAAAAAGTCCCAAAATAAAATCAGAAAAAAAAAAAAAAAAAAAAAAAAAAAAAAAGAGAATCTTTCAAAAGTCTGGGATAAAAACTATTCTATGTTCTTTCTCAAGGTCAATTCTATCTTGGTACCAATTTTTATTAAAATCAGTTCAGTGGTTTAGGCGTGAAAGAGTAACAGACAGATAGACAGACAGAGTTACTTTCGGATTTATAATACTAGTAGGGACTAGTAGGGATTCAGTGTATACATACATATATAATTTTAAAAGAATAATAATTTTTATATGTTATGGTCACAATTATCAAGGATTACTATATTTAAGTATTTCTTACTAATAAGTGAAAGGTGTAATCAATATGAATTTATTACTTTTAAGGTTTTATATAACGTGATTGGAAGGAATAATCTTTATACGAACAAAGCAGTTGGAAAAGATTCTATTTAAGTTTTAAATCAATATGTAAGTGATATTGCCTATTATATATGAAAAAAGCATCTTAGAATACAAAAGTATATATACATATAACTGACGAAACTAAAAGCGTTATTTATGTACTATTCTGTACTATTATATATTGAGTATTCGATAAACAAACACAATATTTTCTATCGCTTTGATTAAAATATAGTTCGGAGAAATCCATAGCAACACAAAAACTTATTATACATAATAATAGTTCCTTAAACAATAATACCAATAGAATATCAGAACATTTCCATCGACACTTCTCTGTTTTTCAATCATCTATCTTTTAAATTGTATAATGCTTTGTTATATAAAGAAAAAGTCTACATCTTCACTAAAGAGAGTATACACAAAATCTTTAAAACCATTATAACGAATTATCTTTATTAATAAGCATTATTACTTTATTATAACTTCATTGCATTTTTATTATTTATCATGTATTGTTTATGTACATATACTATATTTAAGTATCTGTATATTATATATTTTGTTTATGATTCTACTACAATCTAACTATTCCATATTAATTAAGTCTTACCCAAAAGTTGTGTGGAAGAGATCGCCTACAGGCGATAAGAATTCCTTAGTCCCACTATATATTTTTATCTCTATATATTATTATCTTTTGTTAATTAATATTAATATTATTTATAATTTTGTGATATAAATGGGATAATAATAATTTAAATTCAATTTAAATAATATCAAAATGAAATACTGTAATGTTTTATAAGT